TTTTATTATTTTTATTTTTTTCCCAAGTTCAGGGTAGGTAAAATATCTTGTTTTTGAAAAGGCTGCATACAGTAAATTAAAAACTACTGTGATACATTTTTTCAGGATTTTTTGATGAAGAACGCATTTATTTGAAATTGAAATCTTTTGTGACATTATAAATGTCTCTCAATTGTAATCACATTATTTAATGCGTCCTTGCAAGAATCGAACTGACCCCAAACATTTGAAAGGTAGTGTATATTTACATACATATTTTAATTCATAGCAATTTATTTACACATAAGATATTAGCTCTTTTTTCCCCAGAAGGATTTTATACAAACACAAGGTAAATTTAATAAGGCTTTGGTGCGGACGGAATTACTTTTTCCAGCCAAAAACATTGGTGAAATGCTGGGAACAGGAAACAGATTGGGCACTGGCACCTTTGGAAAATATGTTCTGCCAAAGTGTGCTGCTTCAATCAACCCAGTCAGATCCTCAAGGCAATCTCTCAAGACTGAGAGACCCCGCATTGGCCCGCTCATCCCCACCTAGTGACCATCAGCCCCAACAATCATGAAATATCTCTGTGGCCTGTGCCCCCATGCCAACCATAACTCTCCTTTACTGCAGACAGCTCCAATAAAGGATTACAATTACAATTAAAGTAATGAGCAAAGGGGGGGGAAAAAGAGAAAAGTCCGAGGATGGATCCCCAGGCAAATTAAATTGTAGCACAGTTTGAAAGTGAGCACAGAGTAAGTCTTTTGGGTTATTACTGGCTAACCACCCCTCATTCCCTCAATAATTAACTTTCAAGTTTCGTAATCAGGAACCAAGGAAATTGAAACAAAAGACAAATGCTGTCCCAAAATGTCTACAGTGACCCACAGATCAAACCTCACCTATAAATGAATGCTCCTGGTGGATCACCTATTCTTTCTGCCATCTGTGTTATTTTACGCAAATCCCTGCAAGGTGGAAGCATATTTCAAAACCAATATTCGAGCAACAGATGTGTTAATTCCAATGCCTGGAGCGCAAGTGGCAACAGCTAGGTGTACGATATAAAGAAAATAATGGTGTAAATGAGCGCCAAGTCAACACAATGACCAATGCCACTGGCTATAATGTCAACATTGGCATCTCGTCAGGCAGACCCCAATTCCTAGGCTTTAGGGATGTTGTCTCTTTTTTTCCAGCATGGTGGTGATAGCAGAGGGGCTCCGGAAATTCAGAGACTGCCGAGCCAAAACAGATCACTTCAAAGCGCCTTATTTAACGCTTGCTAAATTTTTCATCACAGTTGCTTAATATCCTGGGGAAGGGGAGCTTTTGAAGTTGCGGCGAGAGCGGGATGTTCTTCTGACAACTTTCCTTTTTTTCTCCCCCTCCCTCCTCCTTTCACCTCCTCCCTCTGCTCCTGCATCCCTCGCTCTTTCCACAGGAGGCCAGTGATATTTGGGGCGCACGGTGGAGCCCCAGCGGGCAGAGCGAGGATGGGAGAGCGTCCCATGGAGCCGGCAGTTACCATGCCAACACGCTCAGTGTTACAGTCATTGGCGGTAGATCGCAGGAGGGTACCGCAAAACACCACTGGAGGGAAAGATATTTAACCTTTCACACACCTTTGAGGCAGAAAGCCCACCACAGAAGTCTAAAAGGCAAACAAGAGAGCTGACAAACATGGTTCTCTGACAGCCTGAGGTGATTTAGGGGGTTGATTTTTAACTCTACCAAGCCTGAATATGGTTAAATCGTTGGCTTTTGTTGCTACATGTAAATTCAGGCATGTTACTCAGTTGGGAATGTATGGGCATTTTGTGATTTAATAATAAATGCTGATTAGGGTTGCAAAAAGGCAGAACATTTCCAGACAATTTCAGGTTTTTTGGAAACGTTCTGAAAATTTGTGGAATTTTCGGAAACTTTTGAAAATTTTCCAAAATGTTTTCTGGAGGCTTTATACCCCTTTGCAACCTCAATGATGATCTGCCTATGGTTGTGACTTTCAGATGTAGACTGGGGGGGGGAAAGAAAAAGGAAAGGGAACAGGAAAAGGAACAGATTGAGGAAAAGGACAGGGAAAAGGCAAAAAATGGAAAGGAAAAAGGGAAGGGAAAGGAAGGGAAGGGAAAAGGAAATAGAAAAGAAAGGAAAGCATAAGAATAAAGGAGAGAAAAAGAAAGGGAAATAAAGAGGAAAATGTACATGGGAAAATAAAAAAAATGGAAGAGGCAAAGGCAAAGAACAGAAAGTAAAGAAAGGAAAAGGAAATTATAATGAAAGGAAATGGAAATGTAGAGGGAAAATGCAGGGCAAATGGAATTGAAAGTAAAAAGAAGCAGGGAAAATCATAGAGCACAAAAGTAATGGAAAAATAATGCAAATGAAAATGAACAGAAAAGGAGAAAAAGAAAGGAAAATGTAGAATGTAGAAGGAAAAAAGAAAAAGGGCAAAGGCAAAGAGCAGAAAGTAAAGAAAATGAAAGGAAAGGGAAATGTAAAGGGACAAGAAAAAGAAAGTGAAAATGGAAAGAAAAGAACACAACTAAAGGAAATAAACAAGGAAAAGATGAAGTAAAAAAGTAAAAGTAAGAAAAAGAATGGAAATGAAAAGGAAAGGGAAATGTAGAGGGAAAAACATAAGCAAAGGGCAATAAAAGTGGAAAAAAGGGAAATGTACAGGACATGAAAATAAAAGTGAAAATGGAAAGAAAAGGAAAAGAACAAAAATGAAAGTGAAAAAGGAAATGGAGAAGGAAAGGAACAGGAAGGAACGGAAATAAGAAGAAAGGAAAGAAAAGGAAAAAGTGAGGGGGCGGTTAAATAAAGAAATAATCAAGTAGTGCGCAGTGTGTGGGAGAGGGACAGGCCAGGAAGGACAGCCCCTGGAGGCAAGAGCTCAACCCAGAACACGACTGGTACTGGGTTTGACTGACAGGCCAGAGTGCAGCACAGGTCCAAACCTGCTCTGGCTCAGACTCCAGCCAGAGTCACCTGCCACCGAGGAGCGAGGGCCGCCCATCCGGCGAGGTGAGTCAGAACCTGTTAACGTGACTGCTGTCTCCAGCCTGACACCCCGGCACTCGCGCTCAGAGCCTCCCTCCAGCCCTTCCGCTCATCCACATCAAATCCTTTCAGACACAGATTTCAATTATTCACCCCATCCAAATAATGCTTTGTGACATGAATTATCCAGAGCTGTAATAATCCACTTAACTGGGAAAGAGCAGCTCATCAAAAAGAGAAAAGCAGAGGAAAAAAAGGGGGACTTGTCAAGCAGTTAGAAAGCCAAGAAGCCTTAATAATCAACATTTTTCCCCGCTGTTAAGGACAGTGCTTTGAGCATGGCTAGATATCATTCATAGCGGAAAATCACATCACACAAAACCGCACAATACACAGCCTAATTGTCCAATGATAGTAAATGTGCCATAGATAATCCAAGAACTTCCCATTTTAAAAGCAATACAATATAGAGAGCAGTTCCGCTACTGAGGATGGGTGAGCATTACTCACATTCATATACAGTCATATCCAGTGAACTAATCCATCTACTAATTGATGGTCAATTGTTTTCAGAAAATCACAGTCAATGACACCTTTGACATGTTGAGAATTACATTCTAGCAATGAAAAATCATGGTCATACACTACTGTTCAAAAGTTTGGAGTTAGTAAGTTTTTTTTTATGTTTCTGAAAACAGTTTCTTATGCTCACCAAGGCTGCATTTATACAATAAAAACTGTAAATTTGTGAAATATTATTACAATATAAACTAAACATTTTCTATTTTAATATTTTGGAACGTAATTTATTCCTTTGATGGTAAAGCTGATTTTTTTAGAAGCCATTACTCCGGTCTTTAGTTTCACATGATCCTTCTGAAATCCTTCTAATATGCTGATTCAAGAAAAATGTATTCCTATTTTCTTATTATAATCAATGTTAAGAACAGTTGTGCTGCTTAATATTTTTGTGGAAATGGTGCTTAGTATAAGGTTCAAATAAACAGAATTTGTTTGAAGTAGAAATGTTCTACTGTCACTTTTGATCAATTTAATGTGTCCTTAAATATTTTTTTTTTCTCAGAAAGGACACATTAAATCTCACTGAGCCCAAACATTTGAACAGTAGTGTACCTATAGACTCCAACAAGACTAATAAAGTAGTATATTCTGTGTAAAATACAGCAACACCTGAGTTATTGTTTCTACAAAAACAGCAATATAATAAAGGCAGCAACGACCAAGAAGAAATATGTAAATAACAGTAAGAACAATACAAAATACCATTTTTGCTAACAATTCTGTTTTTTCCTATTGCGTTCAACGCATATGGTAAAAATAATGCAAACCAATTGAATTCAAATATTATTAATTGTTTCAAACTGATTCTACTCCTATAAAATCCCTGTACAGAGTAACGTGTGCTAGTTGGTCTGACTCACAATCACTTACCAGCGCTTCTCTTGGAGCCGCGTCTTTGGCTGGAGCAGCGTTCTGAAAGAAACCAGCAGCATTGTGTTACAGCGCCATCTAGTGGCAGAATTTATGACATCCACATGTGTCTATTGCAGTACAGTACAGACTCTAAATGACAGAGATTCTAACCAGACAAAAGTATATAATCAACCAATAAACCCCACCAAAAATGTACACTACCATTCAAAAGTTTTTTTTTTTTGTTCTTTGAAAGAAAAAAATATACTTTTTTCAGCAAGGATGTATTACCGTAAATTGATCAAAAGTGACAGAAAGTGAACATTTATTTTTCTATTTCAAACAAATGCTGTTCTTTCGAATTTTCTATTCATCAAAGAACCCTGGAAAAAAAAAATCACAGTTTCCATGAAAAATGGAAATGCTGAAAATTCAGCTTTGCCATTACAGGAATAAATTACAAAAATAAACTGCTATTTGAAATTGCAACAATATTTCAATATATTATGATTTTTACTGTCTTTCTGAAATAAATAAATGCACACTTGGTGAGCATATGAGACTTCTTTCAAAAACAATAAAAAGTCTTACCAATGCCAACATTTTGAATGGTAGTGTACAAAGCCACCTCCTTTATATTCAGAAATGAATCACAATAAATAGCATCATCAAAGAGCAAATTAAGGGTTGAAATGATAGGATCTACCTATAATAAGTCTGAGATAAACTAATGGCACATTGATTAATTGTCCTTATGTCTCTTTGCCCATACAAAACTAAATTTGCCTCTCCCTGAGCCTGAAAAAGGTTAAACTCAAGTTCCACTAACCTTAACTGTCTATACACTGTAATACTTTTCAAAACCTGATTGTAACTAAAGGCATCTCATTACTCTCAAAAACAGACCAAATATCATCACACTTAACTTCTTATCCAGGCTAGTTAAACACACTCTAACAAACGGCAACACTTCAAACATTCTAAAGATGGCAACAGATTTAGCGTGATAAGAATTATTTTCACACTGCACCAACACACACCAACAGGGTTGATACACTGATCGAACAAAACTCAGCTACAGAATACAACATACTTCCAAAAAAACTAATTAAAAATAAGCATATCTTAAACAGTCATAAAATTCATATATTTGCTATGCAAGTATTTATGACAAACGTTTCCATAACAGTATTTTAATAGAGGAAAATGTACAGGAATAATAATGCAAGATCCACATCCCGCTGAGACATTAAATTCATTAAGAACATTTAGTTAATAAGATTGCAAGCCCAAAAATGAAAAGTCTGTCATCAGTTGAAAAAAAAAAAAAAAAAATCATGGAAAAAAGATGCACTGGAAATGAATAGTGATTGAGGATGTCATTCTGCCTTACATCTGGTCTTGTGGCCCAATTAAAATAATTAAAACATGATGAAAGATTGTTATCCCTTTTATTCCTTGTTGATTTATATAGCATATTTTAAGCTTTAATAATTCAAAGTACTTTACATAATTTAAAGAAAAATATGAGTACGAGTCAAGTTGAACATTTTAGAAGATGAGTAAAGAAAAATAAGTAATAAAAGTTTAATTAACGGATTGAAGTATTAATAAAAAAATAATAAATATAAAAATTAAATTAATGAAATAATGTCAATTCATATAATTTCTAAATATCTTTATTATAAATTATTAGAAATATAATACATATAAGCACACAGACTGAAACAAATAAGAGACATGTTCTGATACTAATTCAGTCAAGAATTAAAATGAATGTGTTTACATACTTTGATGTTTTTTTTTATTACTGATTTTTCAACTATTTTGCATCACCCCTGAATATGTTAAAGTATCATATCTCTAACATACCTTTAGGTTTGGAACAACAAGAAGGTGGGTAAATGATGACAGACTGTTCATTTTTGGTTGAATTATCCCTTTAATTCGTTACTGATACATTGCATAAATAATGCTTATATGTCGGCTGTAAACAGATCAAATTGAGTTCTTTACTGAGACAGATGAGCACATGGAGGGATGAATGTGTCATGTTTTTAGGTCAACGACCTCATGGATGATTGTCCATATAGCTATATTTCACAGAGACTGACACATTGATATCTGCAGTGGAATGTCCTGTATGCGCTATTCTCTGTGCCTGCACCTGTCACACACATCTGTCTAACTGCATGGGATGAGACAGTGAACAGGGCGCTAGAAAATTAGCTAAAACTTTTCCAAAACAATATGGGACTGCCAGATTATGAGCTTATCAATAATTAATGCGTGCCAAATTGTGCATTTACTATGCAGGTCCACGGCCGAACAATCCGAATGCATGTTGTTAGACGGATGAATGTTATCAACTACCTGATTTTGGTGGTCAGGTTGGTCCGGGGATGCCATCTTCTCAGAGCTGTTAGCCAGAAGGCTAAGGACGCTGATTCTTCAGCAGTGCTCGATTACTTTAGTCTGAACTAGTGATATGAAGTTCGAGTCATTTGCATTGATCGGTTCTTTTGAACTGTTCGTTTCAAAGAACGAGATCAAAAAAGTGAACAAGAGCTCAGTCCGTGTCTTTGTGAATCGGTTCAATTGATTGATTTAAAAGATTTGATTCAAAAGAACGATTCATTCACATTGCAAGGTCAACGAGCTGTTATCGATTCGATCATGCACATTTCAAAACACGGAAGCCGAAATGTATTTATTTTAAAAAAAATTTGTGAGACAGTCTCAGACAGATAGTGACACTATTACGTGTAATGTGAGTTATGAGGCTTTAGACACAAAAATAATATCCAAGAACAAAGTATGAAGCTTTGAAGATACTTAATTATAAACTTTAAACTTTGACTATTATCATGGCAGAATTAAAAGCGTGTAAAGTGTGTAACATTAGCCGAGAGAAGCATTATGGACTGGCGGTAACCTCTCTGGATCAGCTCAAAATAAAAGGTGTGTTTGAAAATAAAGTCGTTTTCAGCCTGAACGGAGTAAATAGCCTTTTCAGATGAAATTATGAAATAGATTATTTGGTAATTTAAAGTGTTTTTCGTAGTAGGCATAATTTGAAAATATATGTTAGAGTCAAGTTTAAAATAATTTTAGAAGTTAAAGATGACTATAGATAAATAATATTAGTAATTAAAGTAATAATAATGAAAATTATAAACTAAATTATATATATATAAAATTAATAATTCAACATTTAAAAATATATATATTTTTTAAATATGTTTTCGGAATTGATTCAGGATTGTTTAATTTCTCTCTCTCTCTCTTTCTCTCTCTCTCTCTCTCTCTCTGTTTTTAAAAGTTGACAGTTCATCCTATGCTCTATTTGTCATTTGACACATTCTCCTCATCTCTGTCACCCACAGGTGGTGAGGCTCTAGGGTTCAGTCCCAGTGCATCAGTCTCAGTGGTGCTAGAAGTTGATGGGACTATTGTGGTAGATGAGGCTTACTTCATGTGTCTGCCAGCAAATACAAAATTCATGCTGTTGCATGCCGATGAAATATGGATGCATTCTCATCAAGGTGAAATATAAACTATTCCAGGTTTTTTTTTTTATGTATTTATTTATTTATATTTGTTCAGCACACTTACTAATCTAAACGGGTCTATTTTGTCTAGTTGATGGAGGGACAGCACAGCCTTGCAGAAAGTCCACTGATCTGGAGGTAGATGGAAAAGACACTGTTGATGGGTTTGAATCTTGGCGCAGTTTGGCAGAACAGCTCAGACAGGACCTGGCCAGTATTATCCTCTTGTCCGAGGCAGATCTACAGGTCTGTGTGATTCTGGCTTAGTGGCTTTTTATTTTGCGATATATCTGACTATTATCATTTACATGTATGATTATAGTGTGTAAACAGCCAATGTTGTACTGTGGTTTACAGAGAATAATTGTATAAATGTGTGTTACAGAGTTTGATTGATGTGCCATGCTCAGATCTGGCTGCAGCGTTGGACTTCTCACAGCAGAAAACCCAGGTCCTACAGGACACGCTGCAGAGAATGCTGGACCGCAGGGAAGAAGAGAGACAGTCCAAAGAGTTACTGAGGCTCTATTTGAAAGCCATGGAGCGAGAAAGCACCTGGGACCCACAAGAAGATAGTAGGGACATATTTTAGATACCAGCAATACAAGAAAAATTCCCAAGTAAAGTCACAGCAAGTTATTTAAAGGAATGGTTCCTTAGTTGTTTTTTTTTCTTTCTTTCACTGAACTAATTTTGGAAAATTACATCTCTTGCTCATCAATGGATCCTCTTTGTAGTGAATGGGTGCTGTCAGAATAAGAGTCTAAACAGCTGATAAAAACATCACAATAATCCACAAGTAATCCACACAACTACAGTCCATCAATTAATGTCTTGTGAAGCCAAAAGCTGCATGTTTGTAAGAAACAAATTCACCATTAAGGCATTCTAACTTTAAAACCATTGTTTCTGACCAGAATACGGGCCCATAATCCATCAAAGTTTCAGACAGTGAAAAAGTCCATGCCTTCTTATCTCATATCAAAATCCACCAACATATTTGTTTAGAACCATTTTGATTTGTGCATATTTCTCTCCTGATTTAGACAAGAAGACTTTTTTTAATAGAGAAAGCAATTTTACGGATAGAACACTCCTATTTTGCCCAGAAGCAACAGTTTAAAGTTAAAAACATCTTAATAATAGATTGGTTTATTACAAACATGCAGCTTTTCAATTCACAAGATGTTTAATTGATGGACTGAAGTCGTGTGGATTATTGTGATGTTTTTATCATTACTCTCATTCTGACGGCACCCATTCACTCAGGATCCATTGATGAGCAAGTGATGTAATGCTAAAGTTATGCAAATCTGTTTTGATAAAGAAACAAACGCATCTACATCTTGGTTGGCCTGAGGGTGAGTACATTTTCAGCAAATTTTCATTTTTGGGTGAACTATTCCTTCAATGTTGCTTTGACTCTGCTCCCACTAGATGGCATCGCTGAGCCATTTCTAAGTTCATTTTATCAGTACTTGGTGGAATGAAGAAAAGTAGCAGCTTGGATGATCAACAGTTTATCTGTTGCTGTGACAGCCCTAATCTTTCCAGTGCTTTCAGGATGTTAACCACTGTCATTGCTGCAGGCGCTAGACTTGATGAGACAGATGGGGTGCAGGTGGAGGCCGCAGCAGGGTTCCGCTCCACAACAATAATGCTCCTGAAGGACAAAAAATACCCAGAGACCAGACTATCCAATGAAGAGCTACAGGTATGACATCTGACAGTGTTGTAAGACCTCCCACAATTTCTTAAGAATGGTGTAAAACCTAAGCATATTTATCATTATTTTACACCAGAGAGTGGAAGTCAATATGAACATCATTCAAAGTCTGTTCTTCCTGCGTAATACAACATTTCAGAGTGAAACAGGATATTCAACTAGAAAAAAAAAAAAAATAAGGCAGAACTTGATTTGATCCATCAGGAATTGATTGGTTTGTGAAAAGTAGATGTTGCTTAGGGTTAATTTTGGTGTCATGTTGACTGAACTTTCAGTCAAATATCAGTAGGGGTCTCTTACTGTTTTCAGCCACAGGAGTATAATTAATCTGTTATTCAGTTTGATAAAAAAATATATATAAAAACCCTAATAATTAATTATGTTATTTGATAAAATAGTAATTATGTCATAAAAACAGGGACATTTTTGTATTTGCATATTTAAAAGCATATGGTTTAGTGTTATTGTCTCATATGAATGTATTTTTTATGCAGATGGTGGCGGGGCATGGAGTGGAGGTCATGATGGAGGTGTTGGGCTGGGACTGTGAAAGGACATCAGCACTGGTCCAGGCATGTGAAAGTGAGCTCAGTAAACGCCTACAGCGAGTTCAAGCCCTGCAATCCCTCAGTGCTCAGAATCAGTCCACTTCACAACCACACACTGAGAGAGAGACCCGAGCCAAACGATGCAAAAAACACACACACTGACAAACCTCTATATTTGTGACCCTGGATCACAAAAACAGGCTTAAGTAGCACGGGTATATTTCTAGCAATAGCCAAAAATACATTGTATGGGTCAGAATTATTGATTTTCCTTTTATGCCAAAAATCATTAGGATAATAAGTAAAGATCATGTTTAATGAAGATATTTTGTAAATTTCCTACTGTAAATATATCAAAACATAATTTTTGATTAGTAATATACATTGCATTTGGACAACTTTAAAGGCAATTTTCTCTGTATTTTGATTGTTTTTGCACCCTCAGATTCCAGATTTTCAAATAGTTGTATCTCAGCCAAATATTGTCCTATACTAACAAAACATACATCAATGGAAAGCTTATTTATTCATCTTTCAAGTGAAAAAATTTACCCTTATGACTGGTTTTGTGGTCCAGGGTCACATTTTTGTGGACTGCTTCATTGCATTCCATGTAAAAAAAATGAATGCAGACAGTGTTTTTTTAATTTTTGGATAGTAATTGTTTTGATAATAGTATAGTGTATAAAAATGCTTATCTGTTGCCTGTAAAGTCGAGCCTTCTTTCAGGACTTTGTTTGGTGATAATAACAATCTTATACTATGTAATTTACAAGTTAATTAATGAAAGAAAAAAATTTACAAAGCAAGTAAACATTTTAGAGAAAATTTAATGTTATAATTACAGTATTTCAAAAGGGAGGTAAATGATTTATTATTGATTGTACCAGATACCTTTAGTATACGCTGGCAGATATGACATTTTAATACCTATTAGAAGCATATAATGCAACTTTATGATATTCCTTAGGGAAGCAATGTATTACCATTGTATTACAAGGTTCACTAAATGTGTCAAATTGGAAATGCTAGCAATCTAGCCCGTGGGCAGCACAATTTTTTTTTTTTTTTCTGTGAAACTGTTTGCAGCACTTGTTGAAACGTCAAATGATACGAAATAATATTTTTAGACTAAAAAGATTTTGACATTTAATTTTGGGCATTAATATAAATCAAGTTACATAATGGAATGGGAAAAAATATTTCACCTTGTCAGAGAGCATTGAGTATGGTAATGTATGTAGATAAAATTTCAATGTTAATAAACTAATGAAGAGACCTGTTGGTCTGTTCCTGTTCACCATGAATGTCTTGTTAAAACAATCTATTTCTGTGCAGATGTAGTTCTACCTTACGTTGTAATGAGCATGTGTAGGCTTTGATTGGTGTTGGGTGGGTTTGTGAAGCCAGTCTTAGTGCTGTTTTGTGGCTGTGATGTACTATTGATTAGAATTTTTGAATTGTGACCATTGTTAGACTATATGCCAATGATCAGAATATCACGTCAACAGGATGTAGAGATGTTCCTGGGCAATTCATTAGACTGGTATTACATATGCAGTCCCCAACTGAACTGTTCTAGTAATGGGCTTCCTGTCTTGAAACCCTTAACAGATGAT